AAGAGAAGAATCCTCAATCTGTAAATTATGCTTCTTAATCTATAATTTTCAGATCTCAAGAGTTGGGGAATAACTTTACAATATCATTGATTCAATCATCTGCAAGTATAGTACAGAATTCAACAGAAAGAACCTCAAACACAAGCATGAGAGAGAGAGAGAGAGAGATAGAGAGAGAGGATGGTGCCTCACCATTCAGGAAGAAACGAGAAAAGCCTAAACAGAACATAACTTACTAGATTCTACAGAAATAGCTGATATAAGAGGACCATAAATTCCACTTGTAGGAACAGCTGTTGTCCCTTTGCCTGCCCAATAAAAGCGAATTTCTATAGTCTTGTTCTTTACAACTATGTTGTTAAATTTTAGAAGTACGGCCTTGTCAACCCCTTTTGCAACAGTAGCAATATCAAAATCCTTCCAAACCAGTTCATCCTGTAAGAAACCAATTAAACCAGATATGTTTCTGTTGCATTCTAAAAGGTGCAATTAAATTGATATTAACTACCTGAATATAAACATCAAATATTCGTCTTCCAAGACTCTGAAAGGTTCGATTGTCTCTGAAAATTATCTCAGCAAAATGAAGGGTCACTGTATGGCTCCCATTTTCTAAGCAACGCCCATGATAAGTAAGAAACAGAGGAGAGACGCGAGCTCTTGTGTACAACTGAGAATAGTCCATTGTGATAGCTCTGGTGAACATTTGAGAGTAGTTCTTTGTGAGATCTCTTGTGTACAATTGAGAGTAGTTCATTGTGAGAACAGATACATTTTTGGCTATATAGTAGCCTGCAGTTCTACTGGCGTCCCAGAAGTGTCCAGTGTTACTAAATCCCCAAATAGAACTTGAACCTTAAGAGGGTCTAAACAAAAGGGGCAGATACTCAATTGCTGCATTCTCATGTCTCAATTACAATAATTCAACACATGAGATCATCAGAGCGTAGGGGGAACGCTGTTCAATGGGGAACGTGGAGCAATGCAGTTCAGGTGCTGTTGAGGCACAATGAGCATTTGTGACTTGGGCTTTCTGTGGTTGGAGCTGTGTCTGATACGTTTTTGAAACCCACTGCACATCCAATCTTTAGGGTGATTTATCCATGTTGACTCATTGCAGCTGGACGCTAAGATAAAATTAGATGGATATGTTATTATCTATAATGTGAAATCCAGTTTATCGGGGATGGAAGTGTGTATGACTAGGGATTTTGAGTTGCTATGCAGAAGCAGTCTTGGCAAACTATCGTCTAACTTCTCCTATAGCTCAACACAAGAATGTTGAACAAGTCACAGGCGCATGCATGAAACCTCCAAGCTTGTGCATTGTTACAGGTATATTCTAAATTTTCAATTTTTTCCTTATCTGCTTTTGGAGTCTTATCTTATTGTTAACACACTATCAGTTACTTTTTCCATTTTTTTTTTTTTATTTTTTATTTTGAGTGCAGAATTTATGTCTGGTAGAAGTGTGTATGACTATCTCCACAAACAAAAGGGTACATTTAAACTACCATCTTTACTAAGAGTAGCAATTGATAAATCGAGGGGTATGCACTACATACACCAAAACAGTATAATTCACAAAGACTTGAAGGCTGCCAATCTTCTGATGGATGGAAATGAAGTAATATGAACCTAGTTTGTTTGCTGTGGACCTTTGACTTTTTTGGCATTTGCTTATGATTGTTCTTTTGAATAGACGTTTATAGAACACAAGCCCTACGATCACAAGGCGATGAAGGAGAGGATAGACACAGTGAAATCATGGTGGATTTCTTTTGGTCCTTGGACGGGGACAACACTAAAGTGAGGGTTCACAATTTTGGAGTGAATTTGTCACCTCTGTATGTAATTGGGTACTAAATTTAACCGATGTTTAATCATAAATTAGTTTCATCATACATGTAGAGGAATGTTATTTTTTTACCTTTCATATTGGAATCAATAAACTGCAGATATCTATAATCATTCATAATTCACATGTATTGATTAACAAGAGTCAAACTTAAATGTTTAAAGTCAATTGCTAGCTTAAAAAAGAAAACAAAAATGGAGTTGTGCAACAAACACAAAATTAATTTACAGAAACAATCTCAGACAAAACACAAAAAGAGTGGTATTGTGAACTATTTTTATGCACATAATTTTTCCCAACAGTTTAGCTACATATGATATCACCATAAAGAGAGAAATTATTATATATTACAAAAACGGCAACATCCACCATAATCGAGATATTTTTCATTTGAAATTAATATATGTTTTAATATTTTCACATATTTTAAAGATAGAGTTTTATCTTCATTTCAATATTGAACAATGGTAGGGGAGTACTCTTTTTCTAACAGGTAAATACACTTTTTACTAAAATAAATATACTTTTTAACCTTTATCAAAAAAAATATTTTTAATAATTTTTAAAATATTTAAACCTTATTTTATTTTATTCACAATATTAAACAATGTCAAAAGACTCTCACACTTTGACATTTGTCTTTGAATATTGCAATAGTAACACCATAATGTTTTAATAAATGTAAGTCCACTCAAAAAGCATTAACTCAAAGATATTATACTGATTAGATTATCGATATCTCTTATCGTCAATATACATATAATTATATGCATTAGAGTCAACAAATATACAATTTGATAATTAGAGCACTAATATTTTAGGAGCTCGGTGTTTTGCTTTGTGGCATTTCCCAATAAAATAATTTAGTTTCTAGAAGAAAGTAAAAAAAAAATAATTTGTTTAGTGTTGATATATAGTTAACACCAAATAAATATAATTTGTGTAAACTATTTGGTCCCACCCTATAATTTGTGTGAACTATTTGGTCCCACTCTCCACTCCACTGAGTCTCATGATTGACTCATACAATACAAGCACTCAAAAGAAAGTTAATCCTCCATTACATGCGCGTCAACACTATATTATATATATCACTTCGACGACAACGATGAAGATCACAAACCACCACAGAGAAGTCATCATGGTCGACAGCAGGGATTTCACCGTGAACATTGACGGCGGCGAGGACGTGGACGCCGGAGTGCGTCCCGCAGGTGATGGGAACAAGATTTGGCGGGAAACAAGCTACGATTTCAATCCCAACAACCACCACAATAATCGAGTTTCAAAGTTTTCTTTTCTATCACAGTCCTCGAATGTGGATGATATCGATTACGAAGAAACATCCAAGCACGGTGAAGTAGGAGAAGAAGAAGAAATGGGTTCAAAAGAGTTTCGAAATTCTCTGCGGCGGCCGAGTTTTTCTCCGGCCGTCGCTAACGGCGGAGGAGAGGTGGTGAGGTGTGCGTCATACCAGAGGAGACACAGCATGCTGAGGACAAAGACGAAGTCCAGATTGATAGACCCGGATCCGGAACCAAGAACTCGAAAAGCTGTGAAGTTGGGAAAATTGCGGTCTGGGTTGCTAGGGAGGGCCACCGGGATGTTAGCGAAAGGAACAGAGGAAGAAGAGGATGACCCATTGTTCGATGAAGACATTCCAGACGAGTACAAGAGAACCAATGTCAATGCATTCACTATAGTCCAATGGGTTAGTCTTGTTTTGATTGTTGGAGCTCTGATTTGCAGCCTTTCGGTTCCAAAGTTGAAAGGTCGCAAACTCAGAGGACTCCTATGGTGGAAATGGGAGGTTTTGGTTCTGGTTTTGATATGTGGTAGGTTGGTCTCTGGTTGGGGGGTTAGAATTCTAGTTTTCTTCATCGACCGCAATTTTCTTCTGCGAAAAAGGGTTCTGTATTTCGTGTATGGAGTGAGGGAGGCGGTTCAGAATTGTATCTGGTTGGGTTTGGTTTTGATTGGTTGGCATTACCTGTTTCATAAAACGGTTGAGAGACAGACAAACATCAAGTTTCTTCTGTTTGTGAATAAGGTTCTGGTTTCTTTCTTGGTTGCCGCAGTGTTATGGCTTGTGAAGACCCTTGTGGTTAAGATCCTTGCGTCTTCCTTCCACGTGAGCACGTTCTTTGATCGAATTCAGGAGTCAGTGTTCAATCAATATGTGATTGAAACGCTGTCTGGTCTGCCTTCGATTGAAATAAAGAACATTGAGGAAGATGAGGAGAGGACAACGGCTGAGGTTTGGAAGCATGAAAAACCGCAGAGAACTTCAAGCCAAAAGTTTTCTAGGGAATCTTCCGAAAAGCAAGGCGAGGGGATACTAATTGATCATTTGCATAAGCTGAAGCCTAAGAATATCTCTGCTTGGAATATGAAGAGATTGATTAGAATGGTTCGTCATGGGGAGTTGTCTATGCTGGATAAGCAGATACTAGAATCAACTAATGGTGATGAGCCTATCACGCAGATTAGAAGCGAATCAGAGGCAAAAGTTGCAGCGAGGAAGATCTTCCAAAATGTGGTTAAGAGGGGTTCCAGGTATGTGCTTATTTTTTCTACTTGTTGCATTCCATTTTTGCATCTGTGCTACCCCATGAGTAGATTATTAACGCAAGAATAGTTAATTCACATTAGATGTAGCAAAATTTGTGAGTGTATGAATGCAATCTCAACAAACCGAACTTCTACAAGACTTTGTCCTGACTATATGGTTGTCTACATGAATCCATTATAGACCCTTTCACTGTATCAGGAACCATATCTTCAAGTTAGCTGCATGTTTGTATTGTCAACATATTCATGTGTCAATTCAGTTGTGAGATTAGACTTTATTAAAGATTAAGTGGAATGTAGACTATCCACCCAAAAAAAGTTGAATCTAGACAGCACAAAAGAATTATGTATATGGAAGTGTCATATGTGCTTAAGGATATGTGACTCGACAAATGGAGGTGGTTGTAAGTAGGCACGCACACACACAAACAAACAGAGAGAGAGAGAGAGAGCTGGCAATTAGAATTGAAACATGAACACAAAGGTCACAACCTATGAAGCACGGATACTTTAAGTAGGAAGACGTATCCGTATCGTATCCGTATCGGATACCGATACTCCTTGGATACTTACGGATACGTATCAAATACGTATTAAAAGTATCGGATATTTCTTAATTAATTTTTCATTAATTTTGAAGTATCGGATACTTAGTTTTGAAGTATCGGATGCTCCAAGTCACATATTATCGGATACTTTTGAAGTATCAAATGCTCTAAGTCACATATTACTCATTTTACGAAATTAGAATTGTATAATTTCTTGCATAACATCATAATATAATATAATTGCGAGGATAAATAGAATATTTTTACAATACTTTGCTTAGTTTTTCTTTTTATAAAAATAACATAGTAAGCTAAAGTAATAGAATTCATTAAATTGACATATCTTCATTGTATCATGCATGTCCCCTATAACTACATAGAAGTAAGGATTAATAAGATAATATAACAATATTAAAATTAAATATCAATAAATAAATAAACAAATAAACTTGCATAGAATATTTTTGCCTAGTGCAAAAGGAAAAAGCATAGGGTCAAGTTGTGGATTGTTTTGATATTGTAATATCAACATATTAGACTTGATATTGAAATGAAACGACAATGCTACGTAGCTCAAATTTTGTGGCTCAAAAGTGGCTCAAATGGCCAAAACGACGTCGTTTTGAGTACAGAACAACATAAAAATGGCCAAAACGACGTCGTTTTAACCATTTGAGCCACTTTTGAGCCACAAAATTTGAGCTACGAGACATTTTCCAATAAATTATTTATTTATTATTTTTAACAAATGTATCCTAACCGCACCGTATACTATTTTTAAAATTTTGCTATATTGCCGTATCCGTATCGTATCGGTACCTCATATCCGTATCCGTGCTTTCTAGTATATATATATACATATTTAAAAACACAAACACAAGGAACTTCATTGAAATTCCATGTATATTCACATAAGAGCCATCCAACTTAACCCCAATAAATAACACAATAACTAATTCAGTCAAACATTAAAATAAAAAAATTAAATAAACAGGATGATAAACAGACAACTCACTCTCAACAGAGGCAAAGCGAATGCAAAAGAACTCCTCTTTCAACTCTCCATCAGCAAAATCAGTGGCGTGCCAAACCCACTTTTCATAATGGAAGAGATCCACAAAATTATTTTTTAATGTCTAAGGTCCCTAAACATATCACAGAGAAATTTGACCTTACCAAATTAAAACTCATCTCTCTCTCTCTCAAGCAAAACTCTTTTCGCAGTAGCATTCAATTCTCTCCTTGTTTTGATTTTGAAAAATATATATCTCGTTCTCTCTCCAACGCTAAGCTTCTCTCTGCCTTCATCGTCGATAGAATCTCCGTTTCTGCAAGCAGGCGAGGATATGCGGGGGCGTCGCAAGGTGTTGCTGTGAGTGGAAGTGGAGGAGCAAGGGCGGCGATGGCGAAGAAAGGAGGTGAAGAGGTGACGAGGACATCGTCGTGGGTTCCAGATCCGAAGACAGGGTACTACAGGCCGGAGAATCACGCAGACGATATAGATGTGGCTGAGTTGCGTGAGATGCTATTGAAGAACAACATCAGAAGACACTGAGATGGAAATCAATCATCCACATCAAATCACCATTATTATTGGTAGATGATGATGCTCTTAAACAAGATGAAGATTGTGTTTTGTGTTTGTTTGCAAATATATATTTGCTGTGTAACCTGTAGGCTCCTCTGGTATTGTCATAATCAGTGGGTATGGCAGTGAATGGGAGTGGGAGTGGAGGCAATGGTTCATGGTTGATAAATTTCAATGTCAGAGAAATTTGGTGAAAACACATTTTCTCTGACAGTGTCCATGAAAGGCTAAGGAGGCCAGAGAAATTCAAAATTTCTCTGGATCAATTTTCTCTGACTTGAATTTTCTCTGACTTGAATTTTCTCTGGACCAATTTTCTCTGGACCTTCCAAATTCATTTTGTGTCCAATTTTGTGCTGAAAAGGCCAGTCATTCGTACATAAAAATACAATATAATAAAATTTTGATTAAATTACACTTTTTATTAAGTTTCATTTCTTTTTGCTTTGGACTTTAATGTATTTTTTTCTTTTTTACTTTAGCCCTTAGTATATTTCTTTTTACTTTCGCCCACTATGTTTAGATTGAGTGATTTGGAGAGAAAAAAAATAAATTGACAGATATGTATTTCCCTTACTTGTTTGGATAATTTAAGTAGAAAAAATTTGGAAGAATGAGATAAACAGAGGGAAATTCATTTCTCTTATAACCCTCATTTCCAATCTTCGCAAAAGTAGAGAGATTGGGAGAGAAAAGAAATCAATAGATTCTTATATTTTCAGAATACTAATTTTGTTCCTGTAAAAATAAAAGAAATAAAATGATTGACATTTATGTCCTCAAGGGCTTTTCATATCCAGTAAAATGTTATTTTGGTAATATAACATAAAAAGGTTTTTTTTCTTTTCTCTTATAAAATCTAATCAAATAAGAATGAGAGAAATCACAATTATTTCTTTTCTTTTATTTCTAATTTATCTAAATAAGAATGGGAGAAATCACAATCATTTCTTTTCTTTTATTTCTAATTTATCTATATAAGAATGGGAGAAATCACAATCTTTTCTTTTCTTTTCTTTTCTCTTATAACTTAAATAATGTTTGTAATTATTTTTAGTTTATCTCAAAACCAACTTTTACCCCCTCTTTTTTTTAGTCATTTTTTGATAAGTCACATTCTTAAGGATTTTGTTCCATAATAGTAATGCAGACCCCCACAATCCACACTCACTTGTGATTGGTTCAAGTAAGAAAGAGAAAAAAACAAATAATACAAACACATTATTAATCCAAATCACTGTGGGGATGGTGAGGGGTCTCCCCAAAAGAAGGTCCCAAACATTATTCTTTTGTTCCCTTTAACATAAATCATTTCATAATCTTTCAGTAAGTTCCATACTTATCATTTTGTACAAAACGTCTATAGCACGTTTTTGCGCGTCTCTAGTTTTCAAACCAACGTAAAGGGAAATCAAAGGAACAGCTCGTTTATAAATAGGAAACAATCGCGGAAAACCCTAAACCCTAAATGGGAAAACCATGAAACTTAAAGCTTCGTTTGATCACAAAAAAATAAATGATTGGAAAATAAAAAGTGTGGGGATATATTTTCTGAGTACCAACACGTGGCCAAGGTGACGCCGACGTGTCAGCCGTGTCCAGGTTATGACGCCGAGGTGATCTTGGCTAGGCTGAGGCTATCTCCGAAGATATCGGAATCCGAGATAAGCGGATAAGGCACAAGCGTCCTAGGGTGAGGAAGGACTTTAGTGTGGATAAGGATAACATTCTTAGGGAGTTTATCTTTATCTCTTGAAGAGTCCAAGATAAGCACTGAACAGAAGTCCATTGAAGCTAGGCTTCTATGGGGACTAGGATAGAGTTAACTATAAAAGAGAGGCACCCCCGATGGGTCTAAGGTACGCAATTTAATTTATGAACAGTGAGTTTAGCACTATTAATTATCTTTGAGAGATATACTGACTTGATCGTCGAAGTGGGTGGAAGAACCACCGCCGGAATCTTCTCTTTCTGTTGCAGGTCAGCAAGGTGTCATCTATTCTGCCAGTTCTCTCCCGCTGATTATTGAGTTGGCAGTGTGATCGGAAAATCACTCACACAATTTGGCACCGTCTGTGGGAAAGAAAAAAGAATAAATGGCCAGTAACGGACAGAAAGAAAAGATTGGGGACGACACTCTTGCTGAGAGTGGCAGACCTATCGACCTTAACGTCGAAGGAGACAATCGCAACACAGAAACTCGTGACCAGAATCACAGCAAGAAAGACGTCGGCCAAGATGGCGACGTACCAAAGAAACCAGATCGAAATGGGTACTACAATGAGGATGACCTCCAGGTATGGAATGATAGATGCCTACGGAGAGACGAAGAAGTAAAAGAAATGGCAAACAAATTGACAGACCTGCAATCGGTCGTCAATTTTATGATGCAAAACAATGTCATGCGGCCACTGTTCCCGCTACAGGACACGCCGATTCCAGCGGCCAATACACAGAAGGGAGGGCAGAAACCAATCCCAGAAATCCCCAGCACACCAGGAGCGAAAAACACTCTCACCGGCCTTCAAGGGAGGTCAGACGAGGAGAGTTGAGAAAAAAAGAGTCGCGGAGGACGCATCGCGCCAAGGAGGCAGACCCCAAAGAACATCGGCATGTTCAAGGGCAGGCGCTCTGCTTCGACACAACTCACGAAAAAAGATCGAAAATGACCCACCATGAAGCTAAGAGTAGTATGCCGAAAAAACTGAAGCCAGGAGATAGCCGAGCTCCTAGATAGAGCAAAGAAGGCTTGAGAGATTACTTCAAGAGGAAGCAGCAGAATGCCGATGTCGAGGTAACTTTCCCTGAGAAGCCGAGAACACCATTCTCAGTGAAGTTGGACAAATTTGAGGCATCGAAGAGATTTAGTATGCCGAGGTTCCAAATATACGATGGTAAGTCAGACCCAACTTCCACGTTGGATTATACTTGAACTCGATGGCATTGTATAGTGGGAACGAGCTGTTGCTCTGTAAAGTGTTCCCCTCATCGTTCGGGGAGATTGCATCAGATTGGTTTCACAAACTACCGAAGGGAAGCGTGAAGACCTGGGAAGGCCTGGCCAAGATGTTCGTGGCCAGGTTCATGACAAACAAGTTGTAGCCATTAAGGGTGGACGCATTGATGGCTCTGAAGATCAGTAAGGATGAAGGCCTTAGAGCCTATGCAAAAAGATACTATGAGGTGTTCAACCGAATACCAAAGTGTA